AGGGAGGATGGATGTTTCTTTAATAACAAAATTATGATAAAATACACTACAGTAGTAAACTGGTAAAGAAAGGGGTTGGGCCTAAAGTCCCAGCTGAAACGAAGTTGATGTCTCAATGATTTACAGTACTACAAATTTGCTATCAGAAACAAAGTTTATAGAATTACTATTTAAAGCCCCATTACCGGCAAATTTTTAGTTAAGAAAAATCTGATTTTATATATGTTATAAAGATTTATAAATATCATACAAAATTGGTAGTTCAACGGAATTTAGACATTCCTAAACATGAAAAAAATGTATCCAACACTGCTAGGCTAGGACAAGCCTTACCTCGATTTAGGTTCTGTTATCACACATAAAAGCGGCTGACATGATATTTTCCGTTGCTAGTATTGACGCTTGTGAAATCTAATATTTCATTGGAATTATTTCAAATGTGTTAAAAAATGATTTTGACTGAGATTTTGACATATACACAAATATATCTCAGGCCTACTCGATTGACCGCAGTTTGCGAGGTACAAAAACTAATCTCATTAGAGAGGGCGCAGTTTATTGACTGTAAAAAGTATACATCAAAGTGAGAGCATTCCAGCTGATGCGATCTACAACCTCTGAATTTGCATGGTAACGAAGAATTTGTTGAGAAAATGGTAATCTCCGATGAGAAATAGCCTGTATTTCTCTCTTTTTTTTAATTCTTTTGCGTAAAAACTAAAATTTGTGCCAATATCTTTCCATGGTTTATAATAATTAGAGTAATGCATATGCATTTTTAGTAAAATTCTGCCGGGAATGAGGCTTTAAGCATTCATTAATTAATGACAAAAGTTTAGGGTTATTTGATTAGCTAAGTGATTAGAGTCCCCTCAAGTTACTACAGTATATGGCAATATATTTAAAAATTGTTTCCATAATTTTATACATTAGAAACAATGTAAACAAGCATGGGGTTTTTTTTTTCAATATTAACAAATATTCTATAGCATAAATTTGTAATAGCCAAAGTAAATTACTGTATTTGATTACAATTTTAAATCTTAATAATTCAATATCCTAGTTTATATATGTGTGTGTTGTATTATTCATGTTGATTTTGTAAATGGTGGGTGCCACTTTTATGAAATTGAAGGACCAATAATGTTATCAAACTAGAATGTATAAATTATATTTTTGTCAGATTTTATATGATGAAGTAGAGCATTAATTGTCTGATTTTCAGATATTGAAAGATATATGATTTGTATGAACAAATTTGTATTGAAGGTAGGCACACTTATCAGATATTAGCCTGGTTCACGTCAAACTTTAAATCTTAATAATTCAATATCCTAGTTTATATACGTGTGTGTTGTATTTTTCATGTTGATTTTGTAAATGGTGTGTGCCGCTTTTATGAAATTGAAGGACCAATAATGTTATCAAACTAGAATGTATAAATTATATTTTTGTCAGATTTTATCTGATGAAGTAGAGCATTAATTGATGATTTTCAGTTATTGAAAGATACATGATTTGTATGAACAAATTTGTATTGAAGATAGGCACACTTATCAGATATTAGCCTGGTTCACGTCAAACTTTATCTAGATATACCCGTCTTGAAACATGATACGATAATCCCCCGAGGACATGCTGCTGACCAAAACCAGCCCTCTCAGCGACTTTAGCTCGACAAACCCAAAACAAAGCTCTACTTCTTACTTGAGGGCAGCGTTCATGTAGCTCTTCTAGCCAATCACTAACTTTGCTTTCATTCTTTATCTAAGATATTAAAAGAAAAATCAAAAGTATGTTAACTGACCAAAAAGTTTTTTTCTTTATATTCACATTCCTATAAGAAAACTTCAAGTATTCAGCTATAACATAAACTAAAATGCAATCAAAAGCTGTTTTGTAGTATTTTAATATTATATTAGAATCTCACTTTTATTTATCATTAATACTTTTTTTAATGAAAATTTAAAAGATAGGTTTTCATGATTTAATTAGATCTTTAAGGTTTTATCAGATCTTGTTTTTATCAGATATTTCAAATTTTTATTCGAACTTTAAAAAATCGATGAAATTTTAACCTCGTTCATGAAACCAAGACAGCTGTGAAGGCATTCATCGAGGGCGCAATTCACGTCCACTTCACTTCTTTCCAAACGGGCATCCTCATCCACTTGAACACATTGCTCTAGTTCTGGACTGAGTCTGACAACATCAAATGTTTCTCTCCGAACATTTCTTTTGACCGTGTGCGGTGTCTTACCCCTGTCTCTTATACACATCTAGATGGGTATAAGAGACAGGTTGAGAACTGCCATCCATGCTTTTGTTCAATCTGTTGAGATCATTTTAAATGTCAATAAATATATAGCTAATATCAGTCACAAGTAAATAATAATACAGTACAGTATACCCTCGATTTTACGTATGGGACCGGAGAACGTACGTAAATCGGGCAATTCCTTAAACCAAGGTTCGTTTAAATTTGTGGTGACCTTTGACCTAATATGTACCCAACTCTCAACGTATGTTATGAACGAACGATGTTACTTCCTAAGAATGAAACCATGTGTTTAGTGTTTTTTATTCATCATTTTATGATGTCATAATAAAGTGTTCAAATCAAACCATATCAGTTTATTAATGCATCACTTCATATGTTTTATTTAACTAAAGAACATGAAAAGATTACCTATACAACAAAGGTTTAGATTATAACGCGTGTTAAATAGACACAATCAATGTTGCTGTTGAATCAAATAATGAACAGACAGGAACTAACAAACCTCTCTTTACATTATAGTGGCCCTCAAAAGGGCCGTTTGTTTTGAGCATTTGGGGGTTTTTGATGACATCATAGTCCATAGGAAGCCTACTTAATACTGAGTGTTCGTATAACTGAGGTACGTAAAAACGAGATTCTACTGTAAATGGGGTAATAAAACACCAATATACAGTACTGGATTTGTTGGTTGGCTGTCCTTACCTTCCAGGACTGAGATTCTGGGTTCAAATCATACAAATGCCAAGATTTTCTCAAGACTAAACAGTAAACACAATTTCTGTTATAAATTTCTCAAGGATTTGAACCAAGAATATTTTGGTTTGGAAGACAAGTACATCTAACCACCAAGGCCGGTCCACTTTATTATAATAAAGTAACTTAATGGTCCATTCTAATGTATTTATAATAAAGTAATTCAACCGTTCATTTTAATATATTTATAATAATTTATTTAGCAAATAACTCAATGTTGTTGGAAATTTGCATGCTTTATTGCATTTTTTAACATAAAAAAGAGAGAAACAACAATGAAACTATTAATGATTATTATAAAACCTTATTAAAATGCTGTGATTGTATTGATTTATTGGGTTGTAGACTTACCGGTTTACAATGGGCGTGGATTTAACGAGAGAGTAACGGACCACAGATGATGTACCCTCCTCCACCT